CAAAGCTGCTACTCCGATTTTGTGCAAAGCAAACAAGCCTGTACAAAACACCTCCTTTCAGAAAAAGAAAGCTTAAAGTCAGAAGTACAACCAACAAAAGGAAAACTGTAAAGTCTCAGCTTGATACATTATCATCCATTTCAGGAGTATTACAGAGACACATTGTAAAGCATTAACAGGAACTCTGAGGATCTCATGCAAGCAAAACTATGTGTATTCATTTAGACAGCTGGTTTTCAACAATTTCTAGCATGCACCATGGGAGTCAAATACACAGAAAAATATATATAGAATTTCAGCTCAACAAATTCATTACAGGTCTAATACCTTTTCAGGCACCTTGCATATGGTTCCAGGCATTTAAATTTCAAAACACACAGAAGATCGAGCCTTTGGCGGTTCTGCCTCAGACTCAGCCTAAGTCAAGTGTAGCCAACCACTTGATCAGATTTTTCTTTGCTCTTTGGGTCATCACAAAGTGCCACCTCTTGCACACGATGAAATGCAGACATTCTTGCATTTGTTTTGCGAGCCATCCCATGGCTGGCTGGCTGAAGCCRGTCAGCCCAGTGAAGCCTCTCCCGAACTCCACATGCCGGGAGGACTCACCAGCCACAGTGCAACTCCTGGCCCAGGACAGAGGCCAGCAGGTCCTCGCTCCAAGSACCAACTACAGTCCTTCACAGCTACCAAAGCTGCTCAGGACAGACTTTTCTGCATTTGCAGATCACTCTAAAATCCACTATATCACAAACATGTATGTAAAAGCATCCGTCACTATGACATGCACATCACAAGTCTACTTCAATGAGGAATGATTTGCAAGTACCAGACACCATTTCTGCATTTTTTGTACTTGAGAGATTTTGCTATATAATTAGAATATATAAAGTTTAAAAACTGACAAGGAAAAAAAAATATACAGTTGATAATTTGCCAGGGAAAAATATACAGTTGATAATTTGCCTTCTAGCTTTACTTGAAAATTATTCCATCCTTAAAAAAAAAAAAAAAAAAGGTTATAGCCTACTTGCTTCCAAAATGTACCTTTCAGTTTGTAAGTGAGAGTCTTTGAAAGTGCATCACTTTCCATATGTCATAGTTTAAACAAGCCACTCATGTTTAGAAAGAGCATTTGGCTTCTAAAAGTTAATCTGAACTACGTGTCAAATGTGAAAATAACAGGAACTCTCGTTACTGCTTTTCTAAGCATAACATAAGTCTCGCTTATCTGTGTGAGCATTCAGGATTTGTATAACCTCCACCCTCTCCAGAACTGCACGTGAAAAAGCCCACTGCTCGCAGAACAAAAACTTTAAGTCCTGATATTACTGGCTATGCTGCGCAAACAGGTCCTTACAACTAGAGGAATTCTGAAGTCAGAGGGACTTTCCCAGAAAAAGATCAGAGAAAATTTTGTACGGCATTAACAGAGTCATCAGAGCAGTACAGAGAGCAGGTACAAATTCCCTGAAGATGCCTGAGCCACGTTAAAAAAATAAAAAAATAAAAAAAAAAACAGCATATTTGCAGCCACATGCAGCCACAATCCGAGGCAGCCATCTTAGTGTAAGATGACACTTGTCACTGCCASCACTAACAGCCCAAGCCTCCAAAAGTTTAGGCATTTTCCCCCATCTCCTCAAACCCAAAAGAGAAGCCTCTTTTTTAATGAGTAAACATGCACAAATATTCAGATTTCTTCCTCTTATGCTTAAGGGAAGCAAGAAGTATTGGGAAAATTACTTGATCTTTATCTAGTACTTAGATGTTCAAAGGGTACRAACACTAATTCTCGCAACACCTCCCTGTGGAATGTATCACATTCCCCATTTTGCAGATTAGGGGAAAAAAACACAATCCAAAAGTTGAACGACAGCAAAATCTGAACAATAAATTTGGGGAAAACATTTCCAACAAAATAGCCAGGAAGCCTGAATTCAGCCCTCCTGAAAGTGTACAAAACATTACCCACRAACTGGAGTTTAATCCTGGCTTTATGTATCCAGATGTACATTAAATTTCAGTCCACTTGGCTAAAGTTACACACAACAGAACTGAGATATTTTAGCATGATTGCATTTGAATCCAGCAGCGAGAAGGTAGTCAGAGGAGGAAAAAAAAAAAGGCAGGAATAAAAATCGTTCTTACCTTCTGCTACATCATCATCTACAGCGCCTTTCACCTGAGAAAAACACCACTGAATGTCATTTCCTCCTCCAGCTCCTACAGGACACAATGAAAAGGAAAGCAGTGAGGCCCCGCAGCGACACAAAGAGCCCCGGGCCCGCACACGCCTCCTTCCCGCAGCGGCACAAGCACAAGGCGCCCTCCCCACCTTTCCCTTCGCAGACACTGCTTTTGTCATCAACCATTTGGCAGCCGAGGTCTGTCCAGCAGCGCTCGAGCGGGCGGCACGAGAAGGGCCTGGGCCTGCAGAGGTCTGGTGACCGGGCGCCCAGCGTCCTGCTTCACCGGGCGCCCCTGCCCGTCACGGAGCGGGACCCGCTCCCCGCGCTCGAGCACAAACAAYTCTACGACTGCATCTCCATCCTTCAACCCACACAAGACACGCACGTTATCCATTCTCTTCCCTAACACCAACAGTTAACCAGGCGCATATGCTAAAGGCTTAAAAAAAAAAAGTTTACCACTATTTTAGAGTCTCTTTGCAGGAATAATGAAAGTAGTTATCAGCCTTGAAAAAAAAATAAATAGAAAGAACAAAAAACAGCAGACTGAGCAGAAAAGCAAACAAGCAAGCTCCTGGCAATAAGTTCTACTACCATAGAAAACCGATCGAAGAGAAAACTTCAGGAACATTACTGCCTCGGCGGAAGGCAGTGATTCATTTGAACCCTGCCACCAAAACACACAAAAAAACACCACCCATTTCTTTTGCATCACTCTGAGCAAATCACTGCTGGGCTCAGAACAGACAGGAAGGGACTGAAATGGACTTGCCTTTTTTTTTTTTTTTTTTAAAGCTCCTGTCAAAATGGAACTTTTTCTCCACACACCGCAAAGAGGCTCAGCAACAGATGGCCTGTACATTAATGTGGCATTTACAAATTAATGCAGAAGTTTATCATCACTCTGGGGGTAAAAACACAGACTATGCTTCTGCCCTCCTCGGCACTAAGCTGAGGGAGGGGAAAAAAAGTTGAAAGGCATGAAAATGGGAGGCCATGAAACAACCTGTGCACGGCAGCCTGGAGGCCCCAGAGCAGCCACGGCGGGACGGGAGCACGACCAGGCTGCGCCCTGCATTTTCTCGCTGGCCTCYGTTTCTTTGCTGGAAAACAAATGAGGAAACTACAGAGGCTGACAGGGTAAAGGGAAGTGCAAGCACCAGGCTGCACAAGAGGTGTCAAAAGCCTTCRGCAAATACATGGAGATGTACCCTGCGTTTCCCTACTGTTCCTCTGGGCTTGGACAACCTATCTTCCCTCCTCACCCTCGTCTGCCGTGTAACAGTTGGCACCGTGGGAGCACTCAGAGGAGCCGGCTTGTGAGCAACAGCCGCGAACGCCTCTTGTTTCCATGTCAGGCCACACGTTCGCGGCCATGGAGAGGCCGGTGCTCTGACCCAAAGGAGCCCAGGGAGGAGCTGGGCCGGGTTGGGCGGCCGCAGCGAGGGCACYACACAGGGGGCACCGTGGGAGGGGGCCCGGCTGGGCCAGCCTGGCAGGGCGGCACCTGCGCCCACCACCCGCTCCATGGGCCCATCCTGTCCTGCTGCCGCCTTGYACACAGGGGATGCACGCAGAAAGCGCCGCTTAATTTATATATATGTGTGTATATATATATATATATAAACATGTGTGTGTGTGTGTGTATAAATGACACAGAGAGAATGGCCGCAGACCCGCCCTGCCCGCCAGCCTGCTGCACACCGAACTTCAAAATACACCGCTCGGCCCGCCAGCCCCTCCGCTGCCCGTGCGCCGCTCCCACCGCCTGGCCACGGACCCACCGGAGCCTGGCCACGGCTCCCACTGCCCCGCCACCGCTTCCATGCCTTTTTTTTTTTTTTT